CCTGTGTAGTGCAGAGCAAGGAAGGGAAAGTGGGCGGTGGAGAGGCAGGCAGGAAATGACCAGCACTGTGACTCCCCCTATGGGACAGAACAGTGGTCAGAATAAAGGCAAAGAAGAGAAACAATTACCCAAGAGTGGAATCTAACATACAACCGCAGTTGACCTAGAGGCTAAGTGTCCAGTTATCCCTGTTTGAGACTGGCTGAGATTAAAGAGGAGGGTCCCAGGACACTTACTACCTTCTACTTTTTGCTTCTAGGAGGCCCGAGCCATCCTGACCTTTGCTCTGGACAGCGTGGAGCAGAAGCTGCTGATGTCCACCACCAAGGGGCTCTATTCTGATGCCGAGGTACCTGTGTGTCCAGACTTTTTTCTCCTGTTGACATAACATCTTGTCCCAGCTCACAGCAAGCCCTTCTCTGCATCGCTGTTGGGTGGATGGATGCATGTTTGGAACTTAGTTCTTAAAGTGCTTGCCTGGCATGCCCAAGTCCTGAGTCACGAGTTTAATCTCAGCCCTTGGGAAAAAAAGGCAAGCATAGCTGAGTTCAGGGCCAGCTTAGTCTACATGAAGAATTCCAAGCCAGCCAGGGCAACAATGAGATCCTGCCTTATCAAGCAAAAAACCAAAACGGGGTTTCTATGTAGCAGTTTTAAAGGAATGCCTGAATGATGAGATCAGAAAATGGGGTTCACCTTGAATGAGGGGGTGTGTCTATCTTTTTTAGAGTTTTTTTATTAAAGATTTATTATATAGAGAGTGTTTTGCCTGCATACCAGAAGAGGGCACCAGATACCATTAGAGATGGTCGTGAGTCAGCTTGTAGTTGCTGGAAATTGAACTCAGGACCTTTGGAAAAGCAGGAAATGCTCTTAACCACTGAGCCAACCCCCAGTTTTCTATCTTAAGGTCCCCAGTCATCAACACAGAATAGTGCCACCTAGAATTCTAGGTTTCCAAGGAACAGGGTTTGGAAACTAGGCTGCACCTGTATTTCTTCTCTGGCCCTGTGGCTCTAAGCCTATGCGGCGGTAATGATTTAAATCTCTAATTTCATGGCTCTTAAGGTTATTTGGGTTGGACATGGTGGCTTACTGCTGTGAACTCCAGACTGGCCTGGACTATGTAGTAAACATTTGTTTCAGAAAGGGAGAGGAGGTGGGGGGCTGGAGACGTGGCTCAGTGGTTAAGAGCACTGCTTGCTCTTCCAAAGGTCCTGAGTTCAATTCCCAACAACTACAAGCTGACTCACGACCATTTCTAATGGTATCTGGTGCCCTCTTCTGGCCTGACACACAGACAGATATTGTATACATAATAAATAAAAAAAATATTTTTTTAAAAAGCTGTGAAAAAATAAACATGATGGTTTAAAAAAAGGGAGGGGGAGGAGAGGAGGTGCTAGGTGTGTCTAGTGGCTCTCACCTTTACTCTCGGCACTCTGCAGGCTAAGGCAGGAGAATCACTGAGTTTGAGATTATCCTGAGCTACACAGGTCTAGGCCAACCTGGGCTATATAGTGAGTTCCAGACTGGTCTGAGCTATACAGTGAGACCCTGTCTCAGGCAAACATCAACGAAAAGGATTTGAGGGTTAAAGGGTTATGGCTCTAATTCTTGGGGTCTCCAGCTCTCTGAGTTCCTCCAAGGTGTTAGGACTCTGATCTCAGGTGACTTTCATTGTCTGGTCTCCAATGCCCTTATGCTCTTTTCATTAAGATAAAACTTAAGGGCTGGGAAGATGATTCTGAAATTAAAGACTTGCTGCTAGGCCCAATTACCTGCTTGACTTTAGACCCCAGGACCAACATGGTAAAAGGGGAGAACCAACTCCCCAAATTATCCTCTAATTTCCACAGGGCATGCCTGTGTGCAAGTGCACAGGTGCATACATACACATGCACGTGTGTTGTAAATTACATACTAAAAGAGGGAAGTAGCTGGGCAGTGGTGGTGCACGCCTTTTATCCCAGCACTCAGAAGGCAGAGGCAGGTGGATCTCTGTGAGTTTGAGACCAACCTAGTCCACAGAGTGAGTTCCAGGACAGCTAAGGCTACATGAAGAAATTCTGTCTCAAAAAAAGAAAAAAGAGGGAAGCAAGCCTAGAGGAGAGGGGCTGAGGATGTGACTTTATTGGTAGAGGTTTGTCTAACGTGCATGAGACCTGGGTTCCACCCCCAACACCATATACTGTACTCTAGAGACTGAGGCAGGAGGAATTTTCAGGGCCATTATGTATATGTCTCATTACGGGTATGCACCAACGCCATTACAGGGTAGGAGTTAAGCGGTGAGAAAGGAAATGGCCGTTGTGGTGAGGAGTAATGGAGGGGAGGGCACTAAGTTTGGAGGCTCATTTGGGGAGTAACCCTGGGTGCTAACCGGCTTCTTCCTTCCCAGCTCCAGCAGTGCCTGGCTGCTGCCCAGGCTGCCTCACAGCACATCTTCCGCTTCTACCGGGAATCTCTGCAGAGGCGCTACTCGAAAACCTGAGACAAGCCAGGGCAGGGTGCACCTCCTGTCACCACGCCCACTGCCTCCAGCCGTCACATGCCAGCTCCTCACTTTTCCTCATCCTGTGCCCATGTGACTTCCAGTCCTATAACAGCAGGGGCTCCTGTACCAGGCTGGGGAGGGGGGCACAGGGACATTTCCAGGCCTGGGCCCAAGCCAGAACACCATTAAAAGGAGCTCACCTGTGTTGAATGAGTCATAGCCACCAATTCTGAGGTCTGGTGAGCATCCATTCATCAGGCCTGCTGGGTGCTGAGAAGCTGGCACTGAACGAGAGACCCAGGCCACATGTTCAGGGTAGGAGATAGGCATGGTGATATGTGTCAGCAGTCCTACCTGGCATAGTGAGGCCAGCCTGGGCTACCTAAGAAGGTGATCTGGAGAGGACTCAGCAGTTAGGAGCACCTGTTGCTCTTCCAGTTTCCAGCACTCACAACAGATAACTCACAACTACCTGTGACTCCAGCTCTTGGGGCTCAGATGTCCTTTTCTGGCCTCTGTGGGCACTTGGACACACAGGAGGGATCAGTTTTGAGGGAAAGTAAATTCCATATCAGGATACAGGCAGGGGTGGTACAGCTGAAGATATCTGTGAAGGAGGAAAGTGTGGTAGTGAACTCTGAAGTAACATAGGAGAGTGCTCCGGGGATACAGACAGGGAGGAACAAACACATCCACATGGGGCCTTGAGGGCCACCAGCATTACACTGGAGGTCCATATTCAGCACCCCATGAAATGGGGGTGATAGAGTCCTCATTTGAAGATGACATAAACAGAAGAGCCCAGAGGTCACCAACTAACCTGCAGAAGACCAAAAGACTATGAGATTCCTGTCCCAGAGACCAGGCTGTTCAGGGTAACTCCAGTATTCTGGGAGCACCAAGTCACTGGGGCTCAGCCAGCTGGTGTTCCCATACTCTTGGTATTGAGAGGACTGGAACCAAGCATTTAGGAACTTCTGTAAAGATTAACTCCCACAACCTGTCAACATGGAGCCAAATCAGCAGGTCCCAGACTCTTGTTTCTATGTGCTGGGCCCATTCTATCTTGTACTTCACATGCTAGACCTAGCTCACACTCCACACCCTACCACCACCCACTGGACCAATGTCTTCACTCCTGAGAACCGGGAAAGGAATGCACAGGTATCTTTAGCTTGGTGAGTGGAAAAGGGTTATTGTTTTTTTTCCATCGTGGTGCAGCGTTTAACAGCCAAACCCCTGCTTCTTCATTACTTGATGTTCTCAGGCCTCATTTTGCCGTTACTCCTGTGTCCCGCCAAGTGCTAAGCAAACTGCTCACTTACTCAGTACCACCAGCTCTTTGTTTCCTCAGGGACCCACCCCTTACATAGCCAGGCAGCGCTAGTGCACACCTTTGGTCCCGGCAATCTGGAGGCAGAGGCAAGTGGCTCTGAGTTGGAGGCCCATTCTCCAGGGACTTGGTTGAAGTGGGTTTGGAAGGCCATTTGGTAAGCTATGTTCACATCATTGAAGCCCAGGTACAATTTTCTTCTTGTTTTGGTAACTCTAAAACTTTTTTTGTTTTTGTTTTTTAGAGACTGCGTTTCTCTCTGTAGACCAGGCTGGCCTCAAACTCATAGAGATCCACCTGCCTCTGCCTTTCAAGTGCTGGGATCAAAGACATCAACCAGGCTTGTTTGGTTTTTTGAGACAGTCTCACTACGTAGCTCTTGACTGTCCTAGAATTCATTTGTAGACCAGATTGGCGTTGAACTCACAAAGATCCTCCTGCCTCTTCCTCCTCTAGTACTGGGAGTAAAGGCATGCACCACCACCCCTGGCTGATTCTGGGGTTTGAACTCGGGTAGTTGTGAATTCTGAACAAGCATTGACTGATGAGCCATGCCTCTGGTCTTCTTCACCACCACAACCACCCCGAGACTGGGTTTCACTGTGCAGCCCTGACTGGCCTGGAAACTTGATCTGTAGACCCTCCTGCCTCTCCTGAGTACTGGGAGTGCCAGCTTCTTTTGTTTGTTGTGTCAGTCTCACTAAGCTGCCATGGCTGGCTCATCCCCTGGGACCTCGTATGTACTAGGCAAGAGTGCTGCTAAGCTCATCTCTAGGCCAACTTGAACTTGTGATCCTCCTGCCTTAGCCTCCTGAGTTACTAGTTACTAAGCATGGCTCCAAGGTCTGGCTCTACCACCACACTTTCCTGTTGATTTTGGACAACTGGTTCTGCTGTGGGAAGAGCTCAGAGGGAAGCAGCAAGCCACCACACACACCTGGGATTCTTTGGGCCTTTCTTGGCCCGAGGGAAAGGTTAAGTGAGACCTGGAAGCCTGGCTCTAATTCTGCTGTCACTATTGTGGAGAAGGAAATACTGCAGTATCACACCCCAAGCTCTGAGGGCTGATGTCAGCCACAGCCTGAGGCTGACCTTGCTGGTCAGTCCTTCCTACTCTAGGGCACCCACACCAGTCCACCCTGGACACACCCAAAGACACAGACACTTGGGTTTGGCTTCAGGGACTCTTTAATCTCTCACGTTGCTTCCTTCTGGGTGGGGGTGGCCAGGAAAGTAGCAGACTCTCATTTCTGGATGCTGTGGTCCTCTCCGTCACCACCATTTGCACCAGGATCATCCGTTCCTCTCATGGCTTCACTGGGGGGCCTCTGGCCTCTGCATTCACAGTGGGAGCCGAAGGGCAGCTAGGGCGGGTCTCGGGAGGCAAGGTAGGCAGCCAGGGTCACCAGAGCAGCTGCATATGTGCACAGGCCCAGCCCCACGGCAAGGACCCCCAGCAGGAAGGCACGGCAGGAAGTGGCCCCTGCCCCTTGGATGTCCCCCTTGGCCCAAGCCTTGTTGGTCTGTAGAGGCAGTGGGCAGTGGTAACCAAAGTGTCCCCTGACACTCCACCCTGCTTCCTGTGGCTCTCTACAATCCCAGTCTTGACTAATTCATTCAGCTAGTCCAAAACTGTAGTTGGGGCACCAACTGGGCAACCAATAAAAGAACGTTTCCCTGTGCGGTGGTGACCACTCCTTTAATCCTTGCACTTGGAAGACAGAGGCAAGTGGATCTCTGAGTTTGAGAACAGGGTTACACAAAGAAACCCTGTCTTGGAAAAAAGAAAACCCAAAAAAACAAGTGTTGCCACATACCACTAATATATGCCTGTGTTCTCACTCAGTTAATCTGTACAATGACCCTGAGATAGGGGTTATTTCATTTACTAGTGAGGGAAACCTGCGGCATTCACTGGCTTCCCAGGTCTTACAGGGGTTGGTTGTCCAAAGCTGCCATCACTCTAGGCTCCTGGCAGCATCTTGGCTCCCGCCCCCCCCCCCCCAGCTTCCTTCCTCCATTTGTTTTGTTGTGACAGAGACTTAGGTAGCCCAGGCTTGCCTGGAGCTTCCTTTGTAGTCAAAGATATCTTTGAATTTAGGTCTTCCTGCCTCCATCTCTGATTTGTGGGCCAATCAAATCCAAGGGCTTCATGCGTGCTAGGCAAGCAGTCTGCCAACTGAGCCATAGCCTCAGCTCTGTTCCTTTGCTCTTCATTCTTTTGAGACAAGATCTCAGTTTGTAGCTAGATTGGCCTTGAACCTCCTCCTCTGTCTCCCAAGACTACCTGGGATTTCTGTCACCACCATATCAGGTTACGCCTTTGTGTTTCTTTGAGGAGGCTTCTCTCCAGCCACAGCCCCCACCACCACCAGCAAACAGCATGATCCTCCTTGTTCTTTTTCCCTTTTTTTTTTTTTTTTTTTAAACCCAGCACCCTCCCAGTCCCAAATACAGACTAACCTTGTGGGCCAGACAGAAGGCAGCAATGCCCACAGGCCAAAAACAACACAGGACAGAGAAGACCGCCAGGCCAAGGTGGTCATGGGGCAGAAGAGGTGAGAGGCGACCACCTCCATCATAATCTGAGTCACTGTCACTGGATGATGTGTCCTATGGACAGGAGAGAGTCTGGGTGGGGATATCCCCACCTGCCTTCTCTGCCCCATCACCCCTGAGGACCATTGCTTCTCTGGGGCCTTCCCGGAGACAAAAACATTCAACAAGGTGGGCTTTAAACTTCTGTCTACCGGATCCCTTGGCGGGGCGGGGCGGGGGGGGGGGGAGACCCGATACTGCGGGTCTCCAGAGAGACCCTCCCTCCTGAGTACTGAGTTCGTTCTCAAAGGTCCAACTATGGGGAGATTGCTTGTAATCCCTAAATGGGATGTTGTGAAGTGGGGGCAGACTTTGCCTTGTGTAAAAGAACCTGCATGAGAGATGGGGGATGAACGCTCCAGTGTCCTGAGTTGCTAAGACAAACCTGCCAGCCAAAAATCCTAAAGCTGGGTGTGCCCGTAATCCCAGCATTTGGGAGGTAGAGGCAGGTGGCTCAGGAGGCCACCTGAGACCTGTGGGGGGAGGGAGGACACCAAAATCTTTCACTGTTGTCTCCAGGTAGCTCAGCAGGAGCAAAACAAATCCTCTGGAAGATGGTACCTTCATTCTAGGCCTCCAAATAATCGATCCTAAAAATACTTTTTTCAAACAAAATGACCAGCACACAGTCAAATATACCAGACACACAAATGGTGAACAGGAACTTAGAGGTACAATGTAGTTCTTCAAGTCTTCACTGCTAGGGCCAGTCAGAGATGGTAAAACTGGCAGGATGTTTCCCACCCCACCTGTTTGTGTTGTCTTCCTGTGTCGCCCCAGGCTATTCTGTAAAGCCAAGAGCTTCAACCTCCTGAGGTCCCAGATTATAGGCAGGCACTTAACCTGGCTCCAAGTGCCTTTTTTTTTCTTAAGACAAGGTCTCTATTATGTAGCTCTGGCTATGCTGGAACTCACTCTGTAGACCAGGCTGGCCTTGAACTCAGAGATCTGACTGCTTTGAGTGCTGGAATTAAAGATGTACACCAAAAGCTCTTCTGAGGTGACTGATGTTCCTTCCCCACCCTACCCCTCAACTGTGTGGTAGGTTCTTCCTCCCTTGAATCTGGCCAGGTCTGCAACTCCCTCTTCCTTAACAGAACAACACATAGTAACTCTACAAGATTTCCTAGGACAAAGTAAGTAAATCAAATCTGAGTCCCGAGGGTTGAAATTCCAAACCTTGCCTGGACTATAGAGTGAATTACAAGTCAGCTTGGGCAATTTAACCAGAGCCTTCCTCGAGTAAAATGGGAAACCCAGGGGTGGTGGCTCCTGCCTCTACTCCCAGCACAGAGGTGGGGGCAGGAGGAGCAGAAGTTCAAGGTCATCTTCGGGTATCTGGTAAATTTGAGGCTAGTCTGGGCTATGCAGTGAGACCATCTCACAAAAGTGAGAAACCAGATGGATGATGCAGGCCTGCATTTCCAGTTAGGAAACTAAGGTCAAAAGGCGAATGTGAGCTGAGGCATTCAAGGCCAGCATGAAGAACAAACCTCGTCTCAAAGAAAAATTGTAAAATAAAAATGCAAGACATGTTTCACAATATGAGCAAGGACTATGACAGCATTCTTGGAGGTTGAGGTGGAAGGATGAATTAAAGGCCAGACCCTGTCTTAGAAAAGAGGGGTGGGGACTAGAGAGATGGCGCAGTGGTTACTGCCCTTGTATATGACCTGAGTCAGGTTCTCAGCTTCCTTGTGGGGAGGATTCCAATGCCCTGTACCTCCAACTCCAGGGGATCTGAATAGCGAGAAAATACAAGCACACACACACATCTCTGTCTGGAGAGATAGCTAAGTTAAGAGCAATGATGAAGGATCCAGGTTCAATTCCCAGCACCCACATGATGGCTCCCTACCATCTATAATTCCAGTTCCAGCAGATCCAGCTCCCTCTTCTGGCCTCCACAGGCACTGCATGAATATAATGTACTGGCATATACACATCCATACACATAAAAATAAAAGCTTAAAAACAAAATAAAAGTCCGACATTTTTTAAAAAAAACTTTCAAATCAGGGGGAAGGTCAGCAGTGGGATGGGTCAGCAGGTAAAGGCAAAGTACTGACCATCAACCTTAATGATCTGACTCCAAGTTGATAGAAGAAAACCAAAAAAAATTGTCCTCTACCACTACATGTGTGCCCTGGCCTCATTCCATACATACGCACACACACAAATAACTTAAAAAATTAAAGACATTAACTTGAAAAACTGGGTCAGCAGAAGCCAAGCATTTGTGGGTTCTGGAATGAGAGAACTCAGTCAGAAGGAAGACAGCAAACAGATCAAGGGACGAGGTGAGGGGTCTAGAGAAAAACAAAACTCTGCACTCTAGAGGTAGAACCAGGTGGAGGTCTCTGAGTTCAAGGCCAGCCTGGTCTACACGGAGAGCTCTGGGCCAGCCCTGGCTTCACAAAGAAACCCTGTCTCAACACAAAACAAACAAAAATTCCAAGAATCCCAGTCAGGCCCTGCACAGTCAGCTGCCCGAAGCCCCTACCTCAAGGTCAGGGGTCTCCGGCTCCCCCAGGCCAGCGCTCACAGAAGAAAGAGGTGGGAGAAGTAACTGCCGGTCTCTCAGGGACTCCACAAAGACTGTTTCTGGGAAATGGGTTCCCAGTTCTACTTTGTCAGACTTGGGGGACAGGAGGTCCCAGGCTGTGCTTGGCAGCAAGGGTTGCTGGAGTTCCTGTATGCTGGGGTTGTCCATGGCTGGGGGAGGGGCGCTGTCGTAGGGGGTTCCTGGAGACAGGAAAACAAATTCAAATTTCAAAAATCTTGCCTTCATCCATCACCCCCTGACTGTTGGCTTCAGAGTGAGCTCAAAGTCCCTCAGAGTAATTTTACAGATAGAAAAACAGCCTGGAGAACAAAACAGGTTTGTTTAACTCACAGATAATTCACGGTCCCAGGCGATCAATTATGGGATTCTCTCAATTATATACCTGTTGCACACTCACTGTAAACCATGTCTTACACACTTGTTTGTTCCATGAGCCCTCTCCTCCCCTGCCACTACATCCCCAGGCTCACAGCCCTTACCACCCATTCAGACCCACACCCTTCCTCCTATAATATGCTCATCCATCTCCTACCCCAGTGACCTAGGAACTCCACCCTAGTGCACACACACATAGTCCTCACACTTAGTTCCCAGGGCCCTCTCAAGGTAAGCCCGCCCACACCCACATCCTGTTTTCTGCCAAAGGTCTCCTTGAACACTTGCTGAGAATGACAGCGGCTCCCCTCGGGAACGTGTCTGCAACCGGCAATATTCTTACGTACCCCTGAGCCTCCTTGCACAATCAATCCTCACCCTTGCAGCATTTCAAAACGCAAACACCTCCAACATACAGAGACCCCCACCCCCACCCCCACGGCCATGCTTCTCAGCTCTCATCGCTTCCATTGCACACCTATTCAACTCAACCTGTACCTTACCTTGCCCCTTTTCCACGGCGCCACACATCTCCCTATTGACCTGTCACTTAGCCCACCTGATTCATTAATGCCGCCACCCTCGAGCTCAGCATATGTACTGTTCACACTCAACCAGAAAGATCTTTCTCATTCTACTATCCCCTGCCCCAGATCGTTCCAAACCTCCTAGCCCAGATTCTCGCCAAAGATTCACCCCCATTCCTTTCTTGCCTCCCCAGCGCAACGCCAGGACCCCGGGGTAGAAGCAATGTCCTCATCTCCTCTCCTCACCGCCCACGGCCAGGCGCCTTGGGTTTCATAGGACGCCTACCTTGCCCTGCTGCCCAGAGATGGGCAAACCTGAACCCTGCGATCGGGCTCAAGGGTACCTGGCGTGGGGTCTGACAGCTGCGCTGCGGTCGGGTCTCTGCGCCCCAGCCCCGCAGCGCACAGGGGAGGGGAGAGGCGTAGCTACAGCCCCAGACTCCGCCCCTCTGCTGCTCCTCGGGAGGGGGCCTTGAAGGTCGACTCCGACTCTGGGGGATCCCAGAGACAGCAGCTTCTTCTCCCTGAGCCCAGGCTCAAACCTGTTGGCTGGAAGATGGAGCGCACCCCCTCCCCATTATCCAGGTCTTTCCTGGCTGAATCCCATCTCTCCAGAAAAGGTGGTCCAATAACAACCAAAAATAAAAACGGTAACTTTAGCTACAGCTTTGTAACTTGTTCTAGGTGCTTTAGACATTCACAACCACAGAACAGTTCTAAGAAGCACTGTGCATGGTCGTCTTTTCACGACAGCAAAGAACACAGAGAACTGAAGTAATTGGTCCAAGAGCACACAGAAGAGCACACAATTCACGAGGCCCTGTGCTGGGCTCTTCCCTCAGCAGCTCCGTTTTCACCCCTGCTGAGCAGATGTGGAAACTGAGGCTACAACACTGGCTCCTGTGCCGAGGTAAGCACATGGAACCTGCACCCAGCAGACTGTAACCCAAGACAGAATCCCTTGCTGATCCCAGCGGAAGGAAAGAAGCCAAAGGAGGAAAGTTGAGTGACACTTCCCGAGGACAGAGGCCGAGGAGTGGTCCAGGTCCTATAGTAATGCAGGCGAGCTCCGTGGTTCAGGGTCTGACACTCCACACACATGCAGGTATTTCAAGGCACTTGGTGTGTGAACTTTGGACCAGAGCTTCACCTCTCTGAATCTTTATTTCTTCATCTGAAAACTCAGGACATATGCCCAGCCTTCTAGACATGATAATGACATACATATGTTTATTTAAAAAAATCTTTAACGATTTCTTTATTTATTATGTATACAGTGGTCTACCTCTATGAATGATGTATGCCTGCAGGCCAGAAGAGGGCACCAGATCACATTACAGATGGTTGTGAACCACCATGTGAATGCTTGGGATTGAACTCAGGACCTCTGGAAGCGCAGTCAGTGTTCTTAACCTCTGAACCATCTCTCCTGACCCCCATATCTTTAATTTTTTGATGTTTTTTCATTACGTTTATTTACTTATTTATTTAGTGTGGTGCTTCTACAACAAGCATGTGTAGGACAACTTGTAGGAGTTAGTTCATTTCTTCCACCAGGTGGGTTTCTGGACTCGAACTCAGACTTAGCAGCAAGCTCTCTTTCTCACTTAGTCATTCCCACAGTTCAGCATATGGATTCAACTTAGATATGACAACAAATACCCACACATTTACCCAAAACCTGGCAAAGTAAGCACAGTGAACAGCTGAACATGTGGAATGTGCTTATCGATGGTATTATTCATAATTCGTGTCCTTTTAGCTGACAAAGAACCTCCTGGCCCTCCAAGCCAACTCGTCCTTCAGGGAGCCCACCCAGCTTGCACTGCCTCCTTTTCTGGCCAGATGGGAGGATTCCCTGGCTTGATGTAGGGCCGTGGTGGAGTTCCCTAGCTCTAGGGTGCCAGGGCACTGTGCCAGGAGTGCAGACGCTCAAGTTGGCACTGGCCCCACTCCCGGGGAGAGCAGATGGCGTCTGGGAGTGCGCTTGGCTCAGCCCAAGCTTCTGGCAGGAAGACCCACGGGAGGGGTAATGCCAGGAACAGGGGGCAGAATGGTTTTCACCAGAGGGGATTTACTAGTACCTTTCCCTTGTTCTAGCTGTTGTTTGCACCATGTAGGAACTGCCACCGTGTTCTGCTTGTGTGCTGCTCCTGACTGCTCCCATTAGCATCAGCTCAGCCCAGGGGCTAGGATTTGTTCTCTTTTGCTATGGCGGTGCCTCGGGCCTGAAACAGTGTTTGGCACAAAGGAAGTCTTACTTTGAGGCTCACAGGATGAGGGTATGAATTCCAACCAGTCTCAGTTTTTCATCAGATCACTGAACTCAGGGACACTCCATCCCCCTCTTGCTGTCCAGAGATGAATTCCAGTCAAGTTAGAACCATGACCACCATCCTCCTTGTAGAGTCTACCCGGCCCACCTCTTCCCAAAGACCAGGAAAGACCCTGAGTCTCATGTCTTATTTTTGTGATAGACCTAAAATGTGGAGTGTGTGTGTTTTGCTAGAGAATCTAGGAACTCCTGCGTACTAATAGGCAACTGTGCCCTAGCCATATCCTCAGCCCCTCACTGGGGGATTCTAGACAGGGGCTCTACCACTGAGCCATGCCCTCAGCCCCTCACTGGGGGATTCTAGGCAGGGGCTCTACCACTGAGACACACCCTCAACTCCTCACTGTGTATTATGATCCTTAACATGATGTTCAAAAAAAAAAATGCAAGCCAGGTAGTGGTGGTGCATGCCTTTAACCCCAGCACTTGGGAGGCAGAGGCAGGCGGATCTCTGTGAGTTCAAGGCCAACCTAGTCTACCAGAGCTAGTTCCAGGACAGGTTCCAAAGCTACAGAGAAACCCTGTCTCAACTCCCCCCCCCAAAAAAAAACCTCCAAAATATGCAATGTTAAATCTATGCCTTTTCTGTTGCTTCATTCATGGCCAATGGCAAAACTCATGAGGCAGGGTTGGAGATGGAGCTCAGTAGAGTGCTTACCTAGCAGGAACTGGATTCAATCCCCAGCCTTACATAAAAACAGGCAAGGTAGTGTACACTTCTAATTCCAGTCTTCAAGAGATGGAGGCAGGAGGATCTAAAGGTCAAAATCATCCTATGCTACATAGCAAGTCAGAGGCCAGCCTGGGGAACAAAAGGTAAAAAGACCTGGTGATACAGTTATACATAAATGAGAGAGCAATGTGCAAGGGTCTGGGTTCAACCCCTATCACTAGGGAAAAAAAAACAATGAATGAATAAATAAAATCTCAGCATGAACTCACTGAAGCTTCATCACCGAACCTAAAACAGTTGAACTTGAAATTCTCCTCTTCATACAAGTGTTTACTCCTTCCATAACTTTGGAGAAGGGCCTTATGAATCGTGTAACTTACAAGACTTTCCTGAATCTTGTAATTCTCCTTTACCTTTTAAGCCTTGCATGTTGTTATTAATTACTTTTCTATTGCTGTGATAAAATACGATGGCCAAGAGAAGTTATGAAAGAAAGAGTTTCATTTGACTTATAATCCCAGAGGGTAAGAGTCTATAATGGCAAAGTAAAGGCATGGCAACAGGGGCCTGGAGCAGCAGCGGAGAGAACTCACATCTTGATCCACAAGGTGGAATCAGAAAGTGCTACCTCAAAATGGTGCAGTGACATGCTTCCTCCATCCAGGCCACATGTCCTAACCCTTCTCCAACAGCTATCAGCTGAGGACCAAGTATTCAAATGCTTGAGAGAAACCATCACACATATTTTCTTTACTTCCTGATTTTAAGATTTTTTTTTTTTTAGCTAGGTTTGGTGGCACATGCCTTTAATCTCAGCACTCTGGAAGCAGAGGCAGGCATATCTTTGTGAGTTCTAGGCCAGCCTGGTCTACAGAGTGAGTTTCAGGATAGCCAGGGCTATATAGACAGACCCTGTCTCAATACATACATTCGAACATAAACATACATACACATATATACACACAAATATATGTATATATTTTTATTTTATGTGTATATGTCTGAGTGTAAGTTACAGAGGCCAGGAGAGGGTGCTGTGCCAGCTCTCCTGGAACTGAATTACAGGTATAAGTCACTGGACATGGATGCTGGGAACTGAACTCAGGTCGTCTGGAAGAGCAGCAAGGACTCTTAACTGAGCCCTCTCGTCAGTCTACTTCCTGGTTCCTATGTGTCCTTGTCCTGCATAGAATGTTTCCATTCTGAGGAAACAGTTTCACAACCTATCCACAGTCCCCACGACCACCAAGTCTTGTTTTCCTTTCGTATCAGGTGTATTCAGTCTGCAAAATCCATCAAGATGTTCATCTATTACTTGTGTGCCTTTCTCTACAGAACGTTTAGAAAACGTTATTTTTGAAAAGGGTAATTGAAATTTATTTTCAAGATGAGTCCCAGAGTGAAAAAAAGCAAGGTGTGAAACCACGTTGCAGTTGCCATGGAAAACAACATGACTGTTCCTCTAAAATGCTAAAACAGGATTTATGGTTCCAAAATCCCGCTTCTAGGGAAACGGCCAGAAGGACCCAAAGGAGAGTTCCAAAGAGGCTGCATGTCCAAAGTGGCAGCCAAAACACTGGGGCCACATCAATGTTTATCCCCCTGAATAAAATGCAGTGTTTAGTCACCATGATGCCCTGTGGCATTCTGAAGGAGGGAAATTCTGACACGAGTTTGCAATATGGGTAACACTTTTGACAGTATTACTGAGTGAATGAAATAAGTCAACATAAGAAATACTGTACGGCTGAACTGGAGAGACTGCTCAATTGCTAAGAGCACATACAGACAGACAGTTCTTGCATAGGACTCAAGTTCAGTTCTCAGCACCCCTACTGGGTGCTCACTACTGCTGTAACTCCATCACCAGGAAACCAGATGCCCTCTGCCAGCCTTGGCAGGCACCTTTACAAATTTTAAAAAAACAAAAAGCAAGCAAGCAAAACAAAAAAGGTGGTATTAGTATTGGCAGCACATACACTGAAAACTGGAAATGAAAAGCTGTGCATAGCTTCTGAGGGACAGACAGACTTGGAGGCTGTTGGTTTCTGGAGCTTCTGGCCTCTACATATGCAACATACACCTGAACATACACAAAGACACACACACACAAAGTTGTTCTTGTCTAGTGGTTTTTGTTTTTTGTTTTTTCCTTTTTAAAGGGGATTTGAACTGGAACTCACTCGATAGCCCAGACTGGCTTTGAACTTGCAGCAATCCTTCTGTCTCAGTCTCTCAAGTGCCACCATACTCATCATAAAATGTTTCAATTTTAAACTTTGTATCCTAGTGAAAAAAATAAAAAACTGAAGGAGCTTTTTTTTGCAAAGGGATTTCTTCCATTCTTATTATTTGTGTATGCCACATGTGTGGTGGTCCTCAGAGAAGCCAGAAGAGGGCCGCAGTCTCCCTGGAGTAGGAGTTACAGAATACTAGGACCCGAACTCCTGTCCTCTAGAAGAGCAGCAAGCACTCTTGTGAACCATCCTTCGTGTCTCATTTATCCTTACCCCACCCTCTTAGTTCAAAATCAAGTGTTAAAAAATGAACTTAGCAGTAGCTCTGGGAAAGTTGAACTTACTTCTTGAGAATACTGGGGGTGCTCTGAAAACGGAAGAGAAAACTTACTTCCCAATTTCTCTGGTGTCAGAATACGGAGATCCTTTTTTTTTTGCCTCCAGTTATAACACACAGAGAGGCCCACGATGGGAGTCCTTTAGGTGCCCATTACTTATGGTCCTGAACAGGGAAAGTGTTTTATTGTTGTTGTTGTTTTTTTTTTTTTTTGAAACAAGGTCTCTCTGTGTAACAGTCCTGTCATGGAACTCTCTTTATAGACCAGGCTGTCCTCGAACTCACAGAGATCTACCAGCCTCTGCCTCCAGAGTGCTAGGATTAAAGGCTTGCGACCCCACTGCTTTTTTTTTTTTTTTTTTTTTTTTTGGTTTTTCGAGACAGGGTTTCTCTGTAGCTTTGGTGCCTGTCCTGGAGCTAGCTCTTGTAGACCAGGCTGGCCTCGAACTCACAAAGATCCGCCCGCCTCTGCCTCCCGAGTGCTGGGATTAAAGGCGTGCGCCACCACCGCCCGGCTTTTTTTTTTTTTTTAAGAAAGCAAACTGCTTATTGTACGACGAAGATATGGAGAGGAAACAGTTGGCGCTTAAACTTCCTCAACTGCTATTTAGAAGAAGTTGCCTAGCCACAACCGCAACTGGTCGCTGGAGCGAGCGAGACCTACGCAGTTTTCCCAGAATGAACCGAGAAAAGGTGTCCATCACAACTACGCCCGCCCCCAGAGGGCAGCTATAGCGCCAATCATCAAACGCAGGGCGGGCACCAGGGGAGGAGCCGGCTGTTGCCTCAGCAACAGCCGGGGCACCCGCGGAGAGCGCAGCTGCGGAGGTATCCACCACAGATTTCCCTCCTCCAGGAAGGGCCGGGCGAGGCGCGAGACTAGCCTCGACGGCGCCCTCAAAGAGAAGGAGAACAGGCCTGTGAACTACCATCCCCGCGGTAGCTTTCGCTCCTAACGGTCAAGTACGCGGAGGTAGGAATAACGCATGCGCCGCGCCTAGGGGTGGGGCTAAAGCGGGCCTGCACCCGAGACTCATGCGCGTTTTGAAGGGGCTCATTTGCCGCGAAGAGGCGGGGCCTTGCGCGTGTGGGAGGAGCTATACATCCAGGGGCGGGGCTTCCTAGGGTCTGAAACTTGGTTTATTTGTGCAGACTCCCCGCACCTCTGAGTGTCTTCCCCGTTTTTCTTGAGCTTTTCTAGGGGAGGTGGCTTGTGCCGGTGGTGAAGAGCGACCGCTTTGTCAGTGGGTTGATGGAATTAGCTTAGAATTACAGTACCGCTCTTTACTTCAGTTTTTCCAGCTGCCCAATGTAAATAATAATACACTTAGCTCACAGGGTTGTGACTGAATTTTTCCCCTCCTAGAACCATGGCTGAAGTGCACGTGATCGGACAGATCATAGGAGCCACCGGATTCTCTGAAAACAGCCTCTTCTGCAAGTGGGGCATCCACACAGGTACCTTCCCCGGGGGGGGGGGGGGGGGTTCATCTCCTAACCAATACCCAGTACCCTCTCCCAGCCTAAGTCTCCCACCCTCCAGTGAACTCCTGACTCAGACCATACTGTCTGCTTTTTTTTTAAAATTCTTTTCTCTCGGGTTATACCACCCTCTGAAAGCCCAGTGATTGGAGGCTTTCACACACGCACTCACTTCCAGTAGAAAGGCTGGGTGTGATGATGCACATCTGTAATTCCAGTACCCAGGAAGCCTTACATGCAAGTAATGGGGCCAGCCTGGGCTATGTGACAAGAGCCCCTGCCTCGAAGAACACAGCACAGAATAATTATGAGATCACTGTAAATGCTAGGAAGAAAAGAGCCAGAGTGATGTAATAGGGGCTGATTTGGGATAGTGGGGTCAGGGATCACAGAAACAGCACTTAAATTGGGCCCAGGATAAAGAAGGCCAGAAATAGGGCCATCCAGTTGCAGTCCTTTCCAGGCAGAACAACCACTGCCAAGGCCCTGAGGCAAGGGAGCAGGAATGGGACCAGTGAGGCTAGAGGGTGGTGAGGGAGAGGAAGGTGAGTTCAATGAGATGACAGGAGCCATGGCATACATGGGGCTTCATTGGTGATGGTGAGGAATCTGAAAGCTGAGGTGGGGTGGATGGGATTAAGAATCCCAGAGAGCAGATGAAATGAACCAGTTTCCTAGAGGGTTTAACGTAGCGACTGGCATTTAGAGCTCAGTGTGTGGACACTATTCTTCCTGTTCCTCACTAGAGTCAAGATGTGCTCTTGGATGGTGCCTAGCCTCTTCTTAGTCTTTGAACTAGGCCTCTAAATGTGGGGTGTGACTAGTAAGGAAATGATGTTGGGAATCTCATCACTTGTGGGGAACATAGCCAAGAGGATCAGAAGTTCAAGGTCATTCTCAGCTACATAGAAAATTTGAGACTAGCCTTACCTATATGAGACCTTGTCTCAAAAAAAAGGAAGCAATCGATGCTTTGACTACAGCTCATCAGTAGGACATGCGCCTAGTATGTACAAAGCTCTGTGTTGCATCCACAGCAGCATACATAAAGATTAATAAGTGAATGATATTTAAAAAATCAATACTTGGGGCTGGAGAGATGGCTCAGCAGTTAAGAGCACTGACTGCTCTTCCAGAGGTCCTGAGTTCAATTCCCAGCAACCACATGGTGGCTCATAACCATCTGTAATGAGATCTGGTGCCCTCTTCTGACCTACGGGCAGGATACTGTATAAATAAATTAATAAAAAAAATCAATACTTGCTATGAGTCTTCTAAAATTATGAGATTGTATTATTTGTCACTTATTTTGTAGATAGGGGATTTTTTTTTTCAAGGACAAGGTTTCTCTATCAGTCCTGGCTGTCCTAGAATTTGCTCTGTAGACCAGGCTGACCTCGAACTCACAGAGATCTGCCTGCTTCTGCCTCTCAAGTGCTGGGATTAAAGGTGTTTGCCATCACCACCACCACCACCACCACCCGACAAGATTGAAAAAAGTAATGTGCCTAACTAAGGTTGCATGGACAAAAGGAAGTAAGACTAGGGGCTGGTGATTGTAGCTTGTTGCTAGAGAACTCTTACCTGGCGTATTCAGTGCCTTGGGTTCCATCCCCAACACTGCAAAATATACAAAACATATGTGAATAGTACCAGGATTAATTTATTTATTTATTGGTTTTCCAAGACAGGATTTCTGTATATAGCCCTGGCTGTTCTGGGAATTTACTCTTTAGAACAGGTCGGTCTTATGAAGAGACTCTTTAGAACAGGTCTCTATGAACTCATAGAGATCTGCCTGCCTCTGCCTCCTGAGTGCTGCGATTAAAGGCATGTGCTACCACTGCCCAGCGAAATAGTATCAGGATTTATTCTCTTTCACACACTCTCCATCTTCCTTCAGTTTTCCTTTAGAGATTGGAACCCACACTTCAGCCTGTGCTGACCTCAAACCCCAAAGTGCCAAGATTGCAAGTGTGTACTTCTGGTGCCAAGATCTGAATCCAGATATTTGGCTCTAGAGTTCACACTGTGTAACCCCCAACCCCAGGGAAAGACACTCTTGTAGCCACAGTGGGGTTCCTTTTCTGCAGGCTGCTATTCACTGTCAACCCTATCTATCATGGTTTTCATTACAGGGGCTGCGTGGAAGCTCTTGTCGGGTGTACGAGAGGGCCAAACACAGGTAGACACACCTCAGATAGGGGATATGGCCTACTGGTCCCACCCCATAGACCTGCACTTTGCCACCAAAGGTCTCCAAGGTGGGTATAGAATGAGAGGAGTGGGGGGGCTAGAGAGATGGCTCAGCGGTTAAGAGCACTGACTGCTCTTCCAGAGGACCCAGGTTCAATTCCCAGCACCCACATGGCAGCTCACAACTGTCTGAAGATCCAGTTCCAGGGGATCTGACACCTTCACACCAATGTACATAAAATAAAAAGTTAAATAAACCATAAGAAATATTAAAAAAAAAAAAGAATGAGAGGAGTGGGGCCAGTCAAACTTGGAGGAGCTGGGCTCGGAACACTGTGGTTGTGCCTGTTCCCCATACTCTGCGAATCTCTTTCCTGGCACAGCTTCCTCTAGAGAGGTAAATCTGAGGCCTGACTTGAGCTCTAGAAAATCCAAGGCCTGTGGAAGGTGACAGAGGTTGGAGTAGAGATATCAGGAAGTGGGAGGTCAAGTGGGAGGGGGGCTGCCTTCCAGTAAAGGGCAATGAGGAGGCTGGAAGGGGTAAAGAGAGCTAGATGAGGAGAGGGGCGGGAAATGGGCCTGTTGACTTTGCTCACAAAAGCAGAGGCCCTGCTCAAAGGGGAAGTGAGTGTACGAGGGAGGAGGGGATCACATGGGCACAGCTTTTCTCAGTAAAACACGGCAGATGCTGGGAAATGGTCTGGGCGGTTCAGCTATCAGGGCTGTTTCTTGACTTAGCCTGTGCCTGTCCGGCTCGAGGAGGGACTCCCCAATCAAGACAGCACTCCAAGTAGAAGATAGACCAGTTTTCAGATGGGGCTAGCACAGAGGCCATGGGGAACCCAGGAGTCTCTGGGTGGTTACATGACCTGCTAGGGCAGAGAACTTTTGGAGCTTTGCTATACAGGCCTGGCCAGGAAGAGCTAACTGGGCCCAAGGACAAAAACAGAAGAGGAGTCAAGGCAGAGAGCTGGAGTGCATAGAAGGCTGGGTGATGAACAAGCCAGACAGTGGATGGCTATGAGGGAAGGGGCAGGGAGCTGCTGTCATGGGAGCTGAATGCAGGGCCCTGGTTGCCAAGGCACTGAGACCATCTCCTGAGGGCTCTGGGGACCTGATTTTGCTTGCGAACAATTTCACTGGCTTCTGGATGGGGAATGTATTAGAGGGTGAGGTGGAGAAATAAACCTTCATCTCTTCAGGCCTGGCCTTAAGCTGGCTTCCCCCTTGATTTCTTTCTTCTTAATCCCCCATTCTGCCCACCACCAAATCCTGTTGACTCTAAAATCCCACTTGAAATACACCCCAACTTCCATTTCTCACCCCTTCCTGCCCTGTGCCCCTTGTCCGTCTTCTTTTAGCTGGACCATTCTTTCAGACTTTATTCACCGAGCTCCCAGACCCAGGCCTCAGATTTTGCACTCCACATGCAGCTACCACGAGCATGGGAGGACCTAAGTTTGACTGTTTCCTTCACGTGTACAGAACCTTCTAGCAGTTCTCCTTTTACTCAGGATAAAAGCGGGTGTCTTCCCTGCCATCACATGACCCTGTGTAATCTGGCTGTCACCTCTTCCTTTCTCCCCCCCTCCCCATTCTAGCTGCACCGGCCCCAGCAAGCTAGCTCCTACTTGAGGACTTTTGCATTGGCTGGGATCTCCCCTCCCCTAGGTGCCTAGATGGCCTGCTCCCTTTAAGCATTTGTGTACATATTGCCTCCTGGTTGATTTGTCTGTTTTTCAGATAGAGCCTCTGAACATAGTCCAGGCTAGCCTGGAACCTCAGCATCCCAAGTGTGCATCAAAAGGTCACCCTTCCAGTTAAGGTCTTCCTTCCTGTATAGCCCTGGTTGTCCTAGAACTTATTATACAGACCGGGCTAGCCTTGAATTTTTGGGAATCCTTTTGCCTCTACCTCCCAAGTGCTTCACGACGGTCATACACCGTGGTGCTCATCCCCAAAAGTCACCTTCGTAGCAAAGCTTCCTTTACTCTCCCCCCACTTCCCCAAACTACATCTCCACCCCTCCCTCCCTGGCGTTATTTTCCTCCATAGCAGTTATCACCATCTGACATACCCTGTAATTTACTTATTTACTATGTTGGTTGTCTAGAATGTCAGCTGCACGGGGCAGGAATTTTTGTCTGCTGTGTTCATCGCCATGTCCCCAGCTTCTAGAATAGGACCTAACAGGAAGGGCCCAGGGTAGAGGGGGAGATGGGCTGGCTCCAAGAGCTTTGACCAGCTCAGCTGTGCTTTGAGGACACTAGAAACCTAATGAAGGGGAGAGGTGGATTGCAGTGGGGAAGAACAGGTAGGGGAGAACAAAGCAGGTCCATGAGGAGAGGGGGGCTGGGAGAACTGTGGGCTCTGTCACAGGGAGACAGAGGAGACCACAAAGCGAAGTCAGCAGAGGCTTTTCACTCTCAAGAGGTTGGACTTTGTACTGTGGCACAGGGGAGCCACGGAAGGGTTTGGAACAGGAGGGTAATGCGAATTTATATAGATCCCTGTGACTACTCTGAGGTGTGGATGGGAGATGGGAACCCAGAGAGGAAATTTAGGCAATAATCAAAGGCAAAAGGACTGGGCCAAGGTCACTAGTGGTTTCAAGGAGATGGGAACCCAGGAGCATGTGGCTACCTCCCTTCATCTCTCCTTTATCTAACTGCTCTTGTCCTGCAGGTTGGCCTCGACTCCATCTCCAGGTGTGGTCCCAGGACAGCTTTGGCCGCTGCCAGCTTGCTGGCTATGGTTTTTGCCACGTGCCTAGTAGCCCAGGCACCCACCAGCTGGATTGCCCTACATGGAGGCCCCTGGGCAGTTGGCGGGAACAGCTGGCACGGGCCTTCGTGGGTGGTGGGCCACAGCTACTGCACGCAGACACCATCTACAGTGGGGCTGACCGCTATCGCTTGCACACAACTGCAGGTGGCACGGTGCATCTTGGTATTGGCCTGCTGTTGCGCCATTTTGATCGCTATGGTGTGGAGTGTTGAGGGACTTCATCGCCACTAGTCACCATCATCTACAGCCCTGGGAACTCTTGAGCACAAGATGGCACAGCCGTCAAGAGCATGAACTCTGGAGACTGTTGGTCTTGACCTCACCCAAGTCATGGCCCCTCTGTCCTACCTAGGACTACAAGGCCCTGCTCCATTGAACTATCCAGTAGTAAGACTGTGGGTTACTGGGGCTTGAGGAGAACTGGCTGTTGGGCTTGTGGGAGGCACTTAATAAAAGCTCTCGGTTTTCATGAGTATGGTGCCTCCTTGTATCCACTGCAACTCTCAGATGTCCAATGTCTTCTTGCCTCATCCTCCTTGGTACCTTTCTAGGTAGACCCAAAGTCTGTCCAGCCTTTCAGTCTCTACATCCTAGGTCCCCACCTCTAATATCTCCTCTGGGACCCTATTTTCTCACGAAGTCCCCATTTTCCCATTGACGCTTCATCAACCCCCAAAGCCACGGGGCACTTTCGTAGAGCTCGGCCGCCAGGAGGCAGCACCCTGGAGGTGGGGCAGGGCTGGGGTGCCCGCCTCCTCCCGCAGGGCTGTAAGGGACCCCCCTCGGAGCCCGCCCACGCTAGATGAAGACGGTGGCCCCCCCAAGCCCTCCTCCTGGGGCTGCCCCCGCCCCGCGCGCGCTTCCTGGGTGGGGCCGGGGCGGCTTCAAAACCCCCGCCGACCCAGGCCGTCCGTCTTCATCTAGCGTGGGCGGGCTCCGAGGGCGGTCCCTTACAGCCCTGCGGGAGGAGGCGGGCACC